TCTTCCATACGACCAAGCACCTGGTTTTCGGCACCTCTTGTCACCGTTGATACAATTCGCCGACCGCCCTCAATCCTCTCCGTCCGAGTCACTGTCCGTGTCTCCCTTATCGTCTGCCCGGATAATGTTCCCCCTGAAACGACCTGCCCGCTTATCAAACTGGAGGAACCTGTTTGCCCAGCAATTGTTGCTGTCAGAGTTTGACCATTGCGACAACCAATGATGACTTCTCTCCCTGATGACGTCACCACCTCTCGCGGCAAAATCTCACTTGAAGTACATCCACGAATCAGAACCCGTCTTCCATTGCTTGTGAACACTTGTGATCCAGATATCCTTCCGCCGGTTATGATTATTTCTCTACTGGAAGTTGTTCCCGTTGTCGCAGTGCCTTGCCCACTGATTGAAACGGTTGTCCCCTCTGTCCTGTTACTGAGAATTTGACCATTTGCGCCAATTACCGAGAGACGAACCCCGGTCTGTCTTCCCCCGACCAATGTTACTTCACGAACATATGTCTTCCCCGCACTGTCTCGAGTTCTGGTCGTAGTAACCACCGTCAGGACTCCATTGATATCCAGTAAAGTCCTTCGCTCTATAGATCTCGAGATATTACGAACGAGTTCAGCCTCAGTGGTAGAGCTGCCACTCCCTTCAACGCGTCTGTCGATAACTTCACCATTTGCTCCAAGAAGGGTGATGACCACTCTTCTAGTTGTGCCTCCTACAACGGTCTCTTCCTGAACGTAAGTTCTCCCTGCGCTGTCCAGGGTCCTGGTTGTCGTCACCACAGTTAACACTCCATCAATGTCGAACAACGACCTACGCTCTATCGATATTGAAATATTACGGACTGGTGGAGTGGGCGTTGTTACGACTATGGCACTACCCTCCACTCGCCTGTCAATCACTTGGCCATCTGCTCCAATAATTGATATTATAACTGTAGTCCTTTGTCCTCCGACTACAGTTTCCTCTCGAACGAAGGATCTACCAGTACTGTCAACGGTTCTGGTTGTAGTTACTACAGTTACAATGCCATTGATGTCAGTTGACGTTCTTCGTTCTACGGATGTTGAAACATTACGAACTGGCGGAGTGGGGGTTGTTAAAACGATGGTACTACCTTCTACTCGCCTGTCAATCACTTGGCCATTCGCTCCAATAATTGATATTATAACTGTAGTCCTTTGTCCTCCGACTACAGTTTCCTCTCGAACGAAGGATCGACCGGTACTGTCAACAGTTCTGGTTGTAGTTACGACAGTTACAATGCCATTGATGTCAGTTGACGTTCTTCGTTCTACGGACGTTGAAACATTACGAACTGGCGGAGTGGGGGTTGTTACAACAATGGGACTACCTTCTACTCGTCTGTCAATCACTTGGCCATTCGCTCCAATAATTAATATTATAACCGTGGTCCTTTGCCCTCCAACTACCGTTTCTTCTCGAACATAGCTTCGACCGGTACTATCAACGGTCCGTGTTGTAGTTATTACAGTTACAATGCCATTAATGTCCGTTGATGTCCTTCGTTCTACAGATGTTGAAACATTACGGACTGGTGGAGTGGGCGTTGTTACAACAATGGCACTACCTTCTACTCGCCTGTCAATCACTTGACCATTCGCTCCAATAATTGTTATTATAACTGTGGTCCTTTGTCCTCCGACTACAGTTTCTTCTCGAACATAGGATCTACCGGTACTGTCAACGGTTCGTGTTGTAGTTACTACAGTTACAATGCCATTAATGTCCGTTGACGTTCTCCGTTCGACGGACGTTGAAACATTACGAACTGGTGGAGTGGGCGTTGTTACAACAATGGGACTACCTTCTACTCGCCTGTCGACGACTTCTCCATTTGCCCCATACACTGTAATAATAACTGTTGATGACTGACCTCCTACGGTGGTCTCTTCACGGACTCTAGTCTGACCATTAGGAAGTGTAGTCCTCGTGGTAGTCACTACAGTTCGGACTCCGTTAATGTCGATGGACGTTCTGCGTTCTACAGATGTACTGCCTGTCACAATCTGGCCCGATATAACGCGGCGACACGAGATGAAGACCTGACGTCCTGATGACGTCACGACTTCACGTGTCAGCGCACCACTCGCGCCGCAGCCTTGCACAACCACCTGCCTGCCATCTGACGTCAGCACTTGTCCACCTATAATTCTTGCGCCACTGATTATTCTCTCTGTCAACCCAGTGGAAGTTGACGTGGTCAGAGATCCAAGGTTAAGAACCAGACGAGTTCCCCCAGTGACTGTTTCTCCAGTTACAACACGGCGACATCGGATGTAAATTTGTCTGCCAGAGGATGTTGTCTCCTCGCGCGTGATCACCCCTGCGCTGCCGCAGCCTTCCACCACCACCTGCCTTCCATCACCTGCAATTATCTGTCCTCCACTCACTCTACCGCCGTTTACTAAAAACTCTCTGTTGGTGGAGAAACCGCCATTGATTATCAATCGTCCGCCAGAAGTACCAGAAGTAGTAGTAGTAGTGCGCTGTCCATTTACAATGACTGTGATTTCTCGTCGACTTCCGCCCGCTGTCACGGTTCCTCCGTTAATCACTCGGCGGCAACTGAGATAGATTTGCCTCCCTGCAGACGTCTGTATTTCTCTGTTGATGGTTATCCCAGTGGAGCCGCAGCCAGGCACTTCCACCAGCCTCCCATCACTGGTGATCACCCGCCCACCAACAACCCGAGCGCCATCTAGGAGAAATTCCTGAGTGGGTGACGTAAGACCGCGTACAATAAAGCGTCCTTGTGAAACGTTGATCCCACCACCGCCACCAGAGATCCGTATGATTCTCAACCCTCCGTTTATGATCATGAGCCTTCCAGTGATAACTCTTCCTCCACTTATTACAATCTGTCGTCTGCTCGAACTTGAGCTAGAAACAGAAGTGGAGCTAGAGCTGAAAGTGCGAGAAGAGACAGAAGTTCCCGAACCTCCATTAAGTACAGCGCCACCTCTGAGGGGTGAGGAAGCAAATCTAGGCACAGGTACCTCGTCTACAGCAACACTGCCCTCTACCATTTGGACGTCGCTTCCAGACCCCGGGACAATGACAACTTCTTCCTCGCTTTGACCTTGACCTCCAGTCACTGCTGTTTCTACCAGAGTTCTGTTAAGCGTGATCACGCGTCCTCCACTGAACAATCGGCCTCCATTTATTATGACTTGCCGGCCGTCAGTGGTTGTCGATGAACCCCCTCGATCTTGTGTGACCCTCAGCGAGCCGCCAACCCGACGGATGGTCAGTTGACCTTGACCTTGACCCTGATTGACTATCACTGTCCCATCAGGCTGGACGCCGCTCACTGAACCGCTGATTGTGATTATGGAATCAGTATCGGGAACAATTTTCCCGCCGGTGATAGCAATATTGTCCCCGCCCTCAGAGACACTACCTCCCCTTACACGAATGACTCGCCTGCTTGAAGAGGTAACCAGGTTGGAGCTTCTAGAAACAGAATCCGCTGTCGAGAGGACGGTACCAGCGGACGCTGAGGCTCCCTGTAACACAAGAGCTGGACGTTCTCGTATCACTGCGGCTGAGAGTTGTTGTACAGGTGCACTGAGTAAAGCAGAGTTAACAAGTACTCTTGACCTGGCACTGGTGTTGCCTTCCAGGATCATCCCACACGTAATAGGGCCGGAACCTGTCACGCTGGCTGGGTCTATAGCCGTCCCTGGAGCGCACGGCATCTTATAGGCGTAACCATTGGAACACTGAACAAGAGAGCGCATGTCTTCGTGAGCATAGATGATGTTTGGAGACTCGCACGATCCTGGAAATGAAGACGAAACTCAAATTAGTGATCGTGTGAACTTCGTGGACGCCAAAACGAGTTTAATCAGTAAAACATTTGAACTTAGTGCTGTAGGTCTGGCATTTGGTCATTTGAAAATCAAAACGTCACCTGTTGGCGAAGATTCTTTTTCTTGTGTTAGTACGATAAAAGGCCATTGTGCTAGCTTTTGTCTATGTAAATCTAAGCAAAGCATAATGAAAATTTTAAGTGTGCCACAGAAATTATGATACAAACGTCTTCCGTGTCTAAATTAGCAAAACTGTGCCGAAATAGAGTATCAGAGGCCCGTATTTTACTGCGTTCGTGACGTCAAAAGTTTCAGCGCGTTAGTTTTTAAGCTTACACATATTTTGAAATAAAAAATAGTAAATGCCAATAATATTGAACATTTCATTGACACAGGGATCACGAACCTCGAAATATGCCTCCGAACGCTTTCCCCTGCTGCACCGTGGCTTGGTTCATGTTAAAAGGGTTGTGAAGTCCCGCCGACCCCGCGGCCTCGTTTGACATACGGAAACCCATGAAGTGCTCGCCGCCCGATGCTGAGTCACTGAAAAGGTAAATACAAATGGTCTTCTTATGAAATATGTTCATTATGATAAAGTTTTAATTTATTCGAAAAACCATATGAAATGGCAGACGAAAAGACAAAATACGCGCCTTGTGTTTTACCGATAATAAAAAATTAAGTAGCAAATTTGGATGCCTTTGATATTTTTCTCAAAAAAAAAAAAAAAAAAAAAAAAAATCACTCTTGACTCGACAAGTGCTTACAATTTGGCTAACTTTCTCTATCTTCTTTGATTAAAAGTAAATAAAATTTGCTTCCAAAATAGGAGCATTTTGGATTTCGCGAGGAAGGTATTTTCGCGAACAAACACGTACCAGAATCATATCAAGTAACTTTCAAGATCTTTTCTTTTTTTTTAAATTTTATCTACCTTTGTCCAGCTGATGTCCTAGTGACAGTCTGACCACATACAATGTCCAGTAATACAGCGATGACCGCCAGGTATGTCACTCGTCCTAACACCGCCATGGCCTACCTCTCTGTACCCCCGAAAGACCCTCGTCTTCACCCACTAAAATATCCCCGTATTTCAGTCGTCCAGTGCTCCTTGCTCGGTCCACTAACACTTCTGCCGGTAATATCAAGTGTGATGTTTATTTAAATGCACAAACCGGGGTATATACTCATATGTTTGGGCTGATTCACTCGTCTTTTTTCTCTACACCGGGATCCTAGATCAACTACGACACACGTGTACCATAGCATATATGTTTTAAGAGACATCAATTCGCATCAGGCATTAAATTCTTATTTCTAGGAATTATGTGAATACTAGATTTGGGGACAAAAAGTTTAGTTACCTGCGTTTTACTTAAATCATTTTTTTTATTTTATTTTATTTTATTTTATTTTATTTTATTTTATTTTATTTTATTTTATTTTTGGGGGTGGGGTGGGGTGGGGGCTAATGGCCCTAGGATGTTTACACAACGTCTTCACTATGCTTATTTCAGATATCAAATGTAATGATAAAATCATATCCTTAAAATTCATCCCACCTTCTCATTTTGGTCCTACTGCTTTATTTATTTATTTCCTTTATTTTTATTTTTGCTTTTTTTCAGACTATCTAAACATGCCCACGCCGCACCTGGACCGCACGCGAACTCAACCAGTGTGAACAGGCCTCGCGTCTTCTCCGTCATGCCGCTGGTTTGACAGATGGAGGTGGCGGTGCCGTGGAGCAGGTCTCGTCTGGGGCGTTGAAATTCTGGACATAATTACTTAGGATGATTAATTAATCAGCTTGTCAGTGTATTATTTCCGCTCGTTTTTGTCAGGTGAGAAAGGATTGCCCACCGGTTTAATTAGACTGAAGGTGCGATTATTTATGGAACCGCTGCAGAGGACGACTGACTTGATATCCTCGCTCATGAGAAATAGAGTTATCAGGTCTATAAGTCCTAAATACTGGTAGAAATGCAAACAGAATGTTATCCAATCAAGCAATTGGATAATTTTTGAAAATGTTAAACAGGAATTGCACAGCATTTTACCAGATCATGATATTTCAGCAAAGAAACAGTCAAATCGATAGCTTCTCCTCTCTCTCCTGTCTTCTTCACAATGCCGTTTTTATTCTCAGCCAGGAAAAATTAAACATAGGATTGATCTTTAAAACATGAAATTTATACACCGACATTTTGCATTCTTTTGAGTGACCACGTGAAGCTGTGAAGATGACACGTTCATTTAGTAGACAAAATATTCTACGATTGTATGTTAAAACTGAACTATTCAAAAGCTCTGTGAGAAAAAAGTTTTTTATCTGAAGTGTTTCTCTTGGACAAAGTAGATTTATTATTTCAAGGTTCTTATGCGTCTTGTTTTTATTTATTTCCTTTTCTTTTTCTTTTTTATGACGATAAATTTACAATGTTTTCTGTTCGCAACCTGTTGATTAATCTATTCATTTCTAATTCTTTTAAATGATACAGTGAGGTTATTCATTCATTTATCTTTCTTCCCTTTTGGTCACTTATTTATTCTTCTAGTTATTCATTTATATTTGAAAAATTTCAGATATTTGTTTTCCTCATCTTTCATTCGTATCTGTTTGTGTCTTTTGCGTCCTGTGGATACCATACGGTACCAAGGGGCCAGTTGTGTTGGAGCAATTTATCTGGGAAAATAAATAGCACTGGATCGCACCTGTCTACGTTATGAGATCGGTCACTTGCCTCTCTCTCTCTCTCTCTCTCTCTCTCTCCCTCAGCTGATAATTGACTGCAAGCATACATTTACAGTATATTAATCATATATTTTTCTCTTAATCCCTTTGTCTTTTTGTCTCTTAGAAGAAATCTAACATACAGGAATCGCGTTATTTTTCATTTTTAACTCTCTCAATATAGTTTATGCTTTCTTATTATTATCAGATACATGTTGCAAGGTAAACGCTCTGATTTACTGGAGAGAAATACATTATTAAAACGGATATGATCGTGTATACTTTCCGAGTTTAATTAGCTTATTCCATTAATTTTAAACACAGTATAAAAAGGTGATTCCATCAAGCGTTAAATGGTTTTGTGGGGAAGTCTTAAAATGACAGAGATCTCAGGTCCACTAGATAATATATGATCATTGCTAATATTGTAGGAAAACGTTGAAAAGATAATTTTGACAAATTATGAAAATAGCACCCCCCATCCGAAAAACGAAGGAAAAAAAGATAAAGAAAAAGAGCAAAACGAGGGCGGCTGCATCATATTTTGGTGTTTATGATACTTAATAAGTGCTAGTTTGATTTCATTTTCTTAATTTCATTTGTAATAATTCAGTTAAGAACGAACTTTTTAAAAATCAGTATGCTAAAATTTAGAATTGCAAAAAAATAATATCGGGGATTGCATGATCAGAGTAATGGCTGGGAAGAAATTGAAGTCGCACAGCCATAAACAATTCTACATGTACTCCTAACTCTCTCTGTCACCAACCCTGGAAGCAAACTTGTCGGTCTCCTGTCACCTTTCCTGTCACCAACCCTGTTGCCCCCTTCCTCCCCCCCTCGTCACCTTCCATGTCGCTTTCACCTTTCCTGTCACCAACCCTGTCACCAACCCTGTCGCAACCCCCCTCCGTCACCAACCCTGCCCCCCCCCTCCCCCGTCACCAACCCTGTCGCGCCCCCCTGACATCTTACTGTCGCCCTCCTTGTCACCCTCCCCGTCGCATTCCCTGTCACCTTCTCTGTCACCAACCCTGGAACCACACCGTGAACCAGCACCTGACATGGCTGACAGCAAGGGCATCTGGGGACCAGCACTCGGTCATCCGGTCATGGGCAGTGGTGAGGATGGGTCAGTTTTATCGGTCATACACGGTGACTATTCACTGAACACTGCTTTTTGCCCCGGAGGAAACTTAGTCGACTATTGATTAAATTCTATAGCCACTGAATGCCCCCCCCCCCCCCTGCGTGATAAATTGGGGAATATCACATGTAGTAAAGCTGCTCTGTGATGTATACCAAGATTTCCGGCCCTGGAAGGGTTGGGTGAGCGTCGAAATGGTTTCAAAGTGTGTTAGAACAGTAGTACTTGCTGCAAATGAGTGATAAATTCTAGTCTCAAACCGCCATAATTCCTTTTAAAATGAACTTGTTTCCCACAGCAATTGACATACCTTAATTTTGCATTAATTTTGTAAAAACCAGGAAGTCAGAGACAAATGGGCAGGATTCTTGCTTAATTGACAGCCCGTTAAACCATGCAGTAAAATTTAAAAATTAAGAACCACGTTCACATTTTCACGTTTTGATAATATGCTTGGGAAAAAGTTATAGGCACACAGATATTATTTAAATATATGCGTTGTATGAAATATCTTAAATTCATATAATGTAAAAACAACATCGAAATTATCTACTTGCAGGGTGTGGTGATGAGAGGCAATTTGTGTGAAAACTGCAAATTATTTCAAACGGTCAGAAGAAGGATACTGGATACGCTAGTCTAAATACATGAGTGATATAAATCTCGGTTGGCATCGAGGGAAACTATTAAAAATGCGATTAAAGACCATTTCATGGTGTTTATTTTTTGCCCACCACCTCCATTTATACATTAAAACAAATGGGTCACAGGAGCGGATCCATATACCTTTTCTGACAGTCTTCCAAATTATCTTTGTTGGTCCATCCCCTATTTTTGACCGTCTTCCGACTTAAAAAATTAGATACCCGTCAGTATATATAACTTAAAAATCTGACTGTCTTCCAGAAGACCCAGAAGACGGCCTTAATCCGCCCCTGCGTCATAGCAACTTAAACAACAACAAAAACGTCACGCTCTTTTCACTTTTATGTATTTTTATTTAACATAAAATATTTTTGCTTGCAGAGTTTAATAAACACTTCGTATTAAATGTGATAACATGATGATAACGAGGCATCTTTTGCAGAGGAGCCTCTTTTCTAATACTGTCAAAGCATATCTGATAATGCTGTAATGCTGTACTATTTTTGACGGTGTTAAACTTGAGAGTAACAGGATATCGACATATAATGATATCGTGTTTAGTATTCATCAACCCTGACCTCTTACGTACACAATAGAAGTCAACATCGTTATGGCCTTTCTTTGATTTAGTTTAGAAATAATTATTACACCATAAAAAATAAGCATAAATCAACAATAGTTATCATAATTTTATGATTTGAACCCTGTCAATGTTCATTTTTTTTCAAACAGCAAACACCTGCTTGCCATTCCTCTACCTTCCAAAATTGAAAGTACTTCCACCATTACCGAAAGTATTAAACCCTCCAGTATTGGTTGTAAATCCTCCAGTATTGGTTGTAAAACCTCCAGAACTCGTAGAGCCTCCAGTGCCGAGGGTTCCAGCACCAAAACCTCCAGATCCACTGCCGATGGTTCCAGTGCTGGTACCTCCAGTGCCAATGGTGCCAATGGTGCCGGTGCTGGTACCTCCAGTGCCAATGGTGCCAATGGTTCCAGTGCTGGTACCTCCAGTGCCGATGGTGCCAATGGTGCCGGTGCTGGTACCTCCAGTGCCGATGGTGCCAATGGTACCGGTGCTGGTACCGCCAGTACCAATGGTGCCGGTGCCGGTAGTGCCAGTACCGATGGTGCCAATGGTGCCAGTGCCGGTAGTGCCAGTGCCGATGGTGCCAATGGTGCCAGTGCCGGTAGTGCCAGTGCCGATGGTGCCAATGGTGCCGGGGTTGGTACCGACAGTACCGACAGCTCCTTCATTAATCGTGCTTATCGTGCCGGTATTGGGGATAACTTGACCAGCTCCTCCAGTAATTATCTGTCCATCGGTTCCTACATTTCCTACGGTTCCTACAGTTCCAGGGTTGACGGCACCCCCAGTGTTGGTAGTAGTGGTGACAGTGTTAGTCACAGCCCCAGCGCCGCCTCTAGGAATGTTGACGCCAGTCGTGCCCGAAGTCACTTGTACTCCATCAATGAAGGCTGTTGCCGGCTGCCCATTGTTGCAACTAATGACAACCTGGCGGCGCCCGCTTGGATCGACCTCCTCTCTGGCAGTGGCTCCTGGGCCGCCGCAGGGACCAATGGTGACGATTCTGCCATCTCTGGCTATAATCTGGTTGTCAACTATCCTGGCTCCAGTGATTGTGACGTCATTGGAGGTGGGAACTGTGAGCATACCAGTTGCTGTAGATGGGGCAGTCTGTCCGCCTGTTTGGGTGGTGGTTGTGGTCTGGGTGCCGGTTGGTCCCTGGACGGTGCCTGCGGTGCCTCCTGTCTGGGTAGTAGTAGTAGTAGTAGAAGTGCCTGCAGGAGCGGTGGAGGCTGGAGCCGGTCCGACTGTTGCGGTAAAAACTTGACCAGTGCGACAACGGATGACCACCTGTGGCTGTCCTGTGGCAGAGACCTCAGAGCGCGCCGTATAACCTCCAATACCGCAGCCGTCAATCATGATAGGTCTTCCGAGGCTTGTGAAGATCTGATCACCTTCTAGTCTTCCGCCAGTAACGATGATTTCAGTGCCAGATGCTGTCTGGCCGGTTGTGTCAGGCTCAGCGGCACCAGTGTTTGTAGTGGTAGTGGTCGCTGTGTTAGTGGTCGCACCAGCAGGTGCTTGTCCACCAGTCTCAGTGGTGGTGGTGGTGGCGGTGCCTGTGGTGCCTGTGGTTTCAGTGGATACAGCGGGTGGCTCAATTACTGGTCCAAGAGTAACCGTCACTGGCTGACCATTTACGCAGCGGATGGTGACCGTGGTGTCGCCATTTGGCTCAATGTTTTCACGAGCGGAAGCTCCAGCGATTCCACAGTCTCCAACCTGAATGGATCGTCCATCTCTGGTGACGACATTGGAGCCGGAAATTCTGGCGCCAGCGAGATCGATCTGGCGTCCTGTAACTGTAGCACCCTCTCCAGCACCCCCGAAAACATCAGTTTGGACTGCTGGTCCTCCTTGCCCTCCAGTCTGTTCAGTGAAAGTTGTAGTGGAGCCAGTGCCAGTTGAGGCACCTGTTACACCTGTAGGTCCGGTCTGTTCAGTAATGGTAGTTGTTACGGTATTAGTGCCTGTGTTTCCTGTTGGGGCAACCACTCCGCCGATTGTACCTGTAGTGCCTGTGGGTCCAGTCTGCCCTGTAGTGGTAGTTGTCACGGTATTTGTGCCTGGGGCAACCACCCCACCAATTGTACCTGTTGTACCCGTTGTGCCTGTTGGTCCGGTCTGTTCAGTAATGGTAGTTGTTACGGTATTTGTGCCTGTGTTTCCTGGGGCAACCACTCCGCCGATAGTGCCTGTAGTGCCTGTGGGTCCAGTCTGCCCTGTAGTGGTAGTTGTCGCGGTATTTGTGCCTGGGGCAACCACTCCGCCAATTGTACCTGTAGTGCCTGTTGGACCAGTCTGTCCAGTAGTGACAGTTGTCACGGTATTAGTGCCTGGGGCAACCACTCCACCAATTGTACCTGTAGTGCCCGTAGTGCCTGTAGGTCCAGTCTGCCCTGTAATGGTAGTTGTCACAGTATTTGTACCTGGGGCAACCACCCCACCGATAGTGCCTGTAGTACCCGTAGTGCCTGTAGGTCCGGTCTGTTCAGTAATGGTAGTTGTTACGGTATTTGTGCCTGTGTTTCCTGGGGCAACCACTCCGCCGATAGTGCCTGTAGTACCCGTAGTGCCTGTAGGTCCAGTCTGTTCAGTAATGGTAGTTGTTACGGTATTTGTGCCTGTGTTTCCTGGGGCAACCACTCCGCCAATTGTACCTGTAACACCTGTAGGTCCAGTCTGTCCAGTAGTGACAGTTGTTACGGTATTTGTGCCTGGGGCAACCACTCCACCAATTGTGCCTGTAGTGCCTGTAGGTCCAGTCTGACCAGTAACGGTGGTTGTCACGGTATTTGTGCCTGGGGCAACCACTCCACCAGTTGTACCTGTAACACCTGTTGGGCCAGTCTGTCCAGTAGTAGTTGTCACGGTATTTGTGCCCGGGAAAACTGCTCCACCAGTTGTACCTGTAACACCTGTAGGGCCAGTCTGTNCTGCCACCAGTGGTTGTGGTTGTTGTACCAGTTTGGGTTGGGAATCTGCCACCAGTGGTTGTGGTTGTTGTACCAGTTTGGGTTGGGAATCTGCCACCAGTGGTTGTGGTTGTTGTACCAGTTTGGGTTGGGAATCTGCCACCAGTGGTTGTGGTTGTTGTACCAGTTTGGGTTGGCAATCTGCCACCAGTGGTTGTAGTTGTTGTTGAAGTACCTGTCTGAGTCGGTGCTCTTCCACCTGTTGTAGTAGTAGTAGTAGAAGTTGATGTTGACGTCTGCCCGCCAGTTCCGACCTGTCCGCCGGTTTGCGTGCCTGTCGTGGTCGTGACTGTATTTGTGGCTGTTCCTCCTGTCACCTGCCCACCAGGACGTCCACCGAAAAATATCTGGCTCCCTTCCCCACCCTGGCCGCCGGTTTGCGTGCCTGTCGTGGTCGTGGCTGTATTTGTGGCGGTGCCTCCTGTCACCTGCCCACCAGGACGTCCACCACCAATAAATATCTGGCTCCCTGCCCCGCCCTGTCCACCAGTTTGTGTGCCGGTCGTAGTCGTGGTTGTGACTGTACCGGTGCCTGTAGCGCCACCGGCCGTTCCGCCTGCAGCCCCACCTCCAATCAAGAGCTCGTCCCCTGTGGCTTGCCCACCAGCGCCCCCTGTCGTCACGGTGTTGTCGGTAGCAGCTGCGGCGATTTGGCGGCCACCAACAAAGTCACAAACAACGTCCGCCGAAGGGTTGGTCAAAATATTGCGGTTAATTCCAGTTCCCGGGGCGCAGGGGAAGGTGTAGGCTATCCCGTTGGCGCATCGGACCATGGCTCTGAAGTCCTCGCTGGAATAAATGGCGTTTGGCTCCTGGCAGGTTCCTAAAGGGTACAATCAATGTGTTATGTTTGTGTAAAGATTTGGTTAAGATACAATGTTTATATATGTTAAAACATTGAATTTATGTGTGAGTCAAGACGATGTTAAAATCAAGTAGGACAGACAATCTGGACAGGTGAGAGGTCAATACTTTTTTAATACCTGTGACAATATGCCTTGGTCACATGCGTATTTATGAATCTTGCCTTAACGAATTGCTCATCTGTTTTGGATTTGAATCTTGCTAGCGGCATACATAGTGTGTGTGTGTGTGTGTGTGTGTGTGTGTGTGTGTGTGTGTGTTTGGGGGGGCAGGGCCGTAGCCTGAGCAAAATGCCAGGGGGGGCAGTAAGCGGACACGAGGGGGCAAAGCCCCCTGAGTGGGGAGGTTGTGGGAGGGGGTGTCCCACGGTGTGGAAAAAATTTAAAAACTGTATGTATAATACTGCATTCTGGTGCATTTTAACTGTTATTTATTGCTCAATCA